ACGAAATAAAATTAGCAAGGCGTCACCAGACAATTCCTCCTCGCCGTCGACCTGGGCTGCACCAGGGAAGGGGAAGTGCGGTGGCTGCCCACTGGCTAAGAAAGAGAACTGCTGCATCTGGGCACCCAAGCCGATGGGAGGCACCACCCGACGACGCATCAATCTCCCCCCGTTTTCCATCCAATCCAAATTCACAGGCTCCTCGCAACCATCGGAATCCTGGCTTCCTTGACCCATGGAACTACCAGGCAACTGGGGCATCGGAGAAGACCGGGCGCCATACCCCCCGCGCGTAGCCGCCGAAACAGGAGGACGCGCGCGGCAAGGACATGGGGGGTGCTTGCAGGGGGGCGACGGGCAGCAGATCGGTGAGGGAGGTGGGGCGGAAGCAGCTGGGGATGCACCTGTTTGCGAGAAACTGCAGGCGAAGGCGCGGGAAGGGAAACGGCGAGCACGCCAACATGCCGTATGGCGAGCGATGTGGGTTGTCCAGGAATAGAGAGCGGAGAGGGAGGGATGGAGAGCAATTAGATTTGGCGTGACGCCAACATGCCGGATATGCAAACAAGTTTGCCCCTCTTGATAGTACGACCATCTATCCTAAATCTGGTCATAAACTTCTCTACACACCTATGACCGGTGAAATAAAATACCGTAGGTTATACCTTTGCCTTGCGCATTCCATTCCATCTCCTCCAATGTCGATGCAACACATGCACCAACACGATCAACAATGATATAATCCACTTCATATCATCACGTGATCATATTGGTTCATCGATCTTGACTTTACTTGCTTTTCACCGTTGCCTTCATCCATCGGCGCCAAGTCTTGCTTAAGCTTCACCGCCACGCGGTCCATCGCTCCAAAGCCCCCAACTTGCCCTTCAAGCTTGCAACCGGTCCATCAAGCCAAGTTATGTCTTGATCTTCTCCATCTTGATCACATGACTCAATGTCATGTCTTATTTGCAATGAGCTCCTTCATCATCACATGTGTGAGCTTTGCAACATCTCAAAGCCATTTTCACCTTCATGGCATACGTTGCTCACACACATGTATCTGTGGACTAATCACCTGTGTATCTCACATAAACACAATTAGTCCACCTAGGTTATCACTCAATTACCAAATCCACACAAGGACCTTTCACCGGCCAGAAGAGCGATCCAATCTCCGACCGAAAGGCCTGACCGAGGAGAAACGGCGCCCGCTTCCAACCCCGGCCCGCCTCTACGACCGAAGCGCTCGCTTCCAACTCCGGCACACCTCCGGACGTCCTCTCCGACCGAAAGGCCTGGCTAAACACCACTTCCGACTCCGACCCGCATCTCCGTCCGGGGATACGCCGAACCCCTGCTTATAGTTTTTCTCCGACTGGCGCAATCAGAGCTGACTGGGACCAACCGACCGGGGATTGTCCGCTCGGTGAGGACCAGGAAACGGACGAAGAGAGTAAGGCAGGGCACTCAAGTCAAACCGCAATACTAAGGACCGTACCCTGTACACCTGCAGGATAGTACCAACAGGGCATGTCAGAAGGGTACCCTGCACCCTTCCTGGCATGTTAGAACCCAAAAAGTGTTGTGGGCGCCATCAACTCCCATACCAGACAAACACGGTAAGGCTCCTCCCACATGCTCTGGGCATTAACAGTGTTATGGGCGCCGGCATTTACCCTACAAGGCGAGCACGGTAAAACCCTTGCATGCCTGTGGGCATCAACAGTATGGCAGGCACCGACGTCTGCCATACCGGAAGAAGACGACGCGACCTCCCACATGCATTTGACATAAAACAGTGTTATGGGAGCCTACAATCATCCTGTACCCAACGGCCTGGGCAACAAGACTTAGCATACGTATACTCTCTCTCTTGTAAGGCCATCCCCTTCATCTATAAAAGGGGATGCGTTCTCTCCAAAAAAGGGAGACCGATCGATTCAGTACACCACAACAGAACCACCAGGTTCAAATCTTAAGCACACGCTCGAACACTTAGCACATAGCGGAGCTCCCGTCACTCTTGGCCCTTCAGATCAGAGTCCGACCGGATCTCTTGTACCCCCATCTTTCTCCTTCTCGTTTGTAACCTCAGTGCAAACTTCGAGCACCTGGGCTCAGGAATAAAGTCATCGATCGACTCAAACTGGACGTAGGGCACATTGCCTGAACCAGTATTAACCCTGTGTCATTGAGTGCTAGGCCACATCCGATCACAACGTACGATAAAACTACAAATATTTACGTGTTGGTCACTTTCTACACCGACACCACCCGACAGCGCATCAATCCGCCCCCTGTTTTTCATTCAATCCAAATTCACATACTCCTCGCAACCATCAGAATCCTGGCTTGCTTGACCCATGGAACTACCCGGCAACTGGGGCATCGGAGAAGACCGGGTGCCATACCCCCCACGCGCAGCTGCCGAAACAGGAGGACACGGCAGCAAGGACATGAGGGGTGCTTGTAGGGGGGCGACGGGCAGCAGATCGGTGAGGGAGGTGGGCGGAAGTAGCTGGGGACGCACCTGTTCACGAGAAAACTGCAGGTGAAGGCGCGGGAAGGGAAATGCCGAGCACGCCAACAGTCCGGATGGCGAGCGATGTGGGCTGTCCAGGAATAGAGAGCGGAGAGGGAGGGATGGAGAGCAATTAGATTTGGAGAGGCTGCTGGAGACCTTTTTCCCCCTAATAATAGCCAAACTTAGCTTTAAAAAATGATTTAGATCATCTCTTCGAGAGGCTGTTAACTAGTCATTTTTTCTTCAATAAATAATGGCTGGAATAAGCCTTCTTTTTTCTTTTGAAAGATTAGAACGAGCCTTGCTTCTAGGCACGGGTTTTGGTACTCCAGTGAATTGCTACCCACGTATTTTGGTTGTTAGAGTAGAACAAAAACTATCTGTTTCTAACAAAATCAAGAGATCGAAACAAATAGACTACAACGAGTGGACACTCTATTTGAAGCAGAAAAAATGCATCTTTGCCGCTTTGATACAAATGAAATAGGACAAATAAAAAAGCATACGCTGGCTACCTAATCACTGTAGTACGTAGTGCAGGCTGACCTGGCTTGGCTTTCTGGTTGCTGCTGCTCTCTACCGACTCTTTGCTTTGACTCGAAACTCGACTGTACAGGTGGCCCCGCCCACCCACCCCTCCAGATAAGCACCCCGCCCGACGATGACGGCGACTGATGAGATAGAGCCAGAGAGGAGAGGCGGCACGGTGATTTGGCTGCTGGCTCGCGGCACACTCGCCCGCCCGCGTCAGCACAGCACGCTCCTCATTTCCCTTCTCTCCTCTCGTCTCCTACTCCCAATCTAGAACCCCGTCCTCCCCTGCTTTCCCCCGCCCCCCGCATCCCCCTTCCGTTCACGGTTGACCCAGCGTGCGTTCCTGTGCCCCTCTCGCTCTCCGACGGCTGGTGGGCCGCCGGCGCCGGCGCCGCCCTACGCCAGGCGCTGAGGTGTTCGTCGGTATCTTCGCCGGCAACGAGCACCCGCCAGGTATTCCCATCCCTTCTCTCCCCTTCCTGCTGTGGGACGGCCGAGCACTCAAACCCTAACCTAAAGCTAGTTGGCTGTTTGATTGATGCCTCCTAACTTCAAGCTTTCTGGAAAAAAAATTATCGGGGACCTTTGCTGGGTCGGCCAAGAGGTAGTGACTAGTGAAGTACTGAGATGGGGCAAAGACAAGTTTTTTTTTCTCTCTGAGCAAAGACGAGTTGCTACTGGACTACTAGAGTACTAGAAACAGAACAGAGTATCGACTCCATGATTCGGGAACAGGCACTCAAGAAGATGGAGGAGGAATGGAGGATGTGCACTAATCGCTGGAGGAGGACCTCATCTTCGTCAGACGAGGTGGCGCCAGCTGGCGTGGTGGGAAGAGAAGAGGTGGCCCGCGGGGCTGGCGGCGGGAGCTTCAGTGTCCTGCCTGCACGAGCTCCCTGCTCCAGTCGTTCTGGTGGCGCAGTAGGGATGGTGGTGGGAGGAGGCGATGGCAGGTAGGGAAGGTAAGGGTGCGGCGGTGGCCAGCGGCGCTGCTTCTCCCCTGCCTGCACGACGAGACCCTGTCGGTAGCGGCGTGGCTGGTTGGTGGAGAGTGGGGAGTGAGATGCTGGTGGATGGAGAGTGGGGAGTTAGAGGCTTTCAACTGTAGAGGAGGTTTGCAGTCTCTAAACTGGGTGGAAAAAGAAATGCCCAGGTAGTCCCCAGATGCAGCTCACAACCCCAGCTGCCCAGCAGTTGTAAACTTGTTACTTGTTTCAATTCAACCACACCTTAGTCATCCAACTAACCGTGATTAGTCGATGACTAATAGGACAACCACAATTATAGTCGTCCAGGTCAAGTCGTAGCACCTAGTTGAGTCTGGGGAGCCGACTAGTCGCGATTAATTAGACGACTTGATAACACGGCTTAGTAGCACAAGTACCTCATGACAAGTATTGCAATTTCCCTGTAGCACTGTTCAACTTAAAATAGTTTTGTCATAGACCCTCAAGCAACCCGAGTAGAAAGCTCCTAGTGATTGGGAATATTTTCACCTGAAGACGTTTGTTCATGCTTTAGTCATTGACTTGGGGAGCTTTATAGCTTGTAAGTTTGTTCTGTTGGTGTAGTTTCTTGCTAGTTCTTCCTCTTATCATCATTAATTTTACTGCAGTTCACTATCTGCGAAGGTTTGTAGCGTCACTCAATCTGTTGTCGCATACAACAAAATGCATGTTTCCTAAACTACGACCCAATTGACATCTTCTTTTTTTTTTTTTTTTTTTTTTTTTTTTTTCCTCATGCTCCTTGCTAAGCATTATCCTTGTGTCCTTTGCTGCAGGTTGAACTACCTTTTACTCGGTGTTCTGTGCTCTCCAACTGCTTCGCTTGTCACATAAAAATTGTAGAGGAAAATGGACTATTATCAGCTGAATGGATAGCATGATGATGAATTGTATATCCTGCTTCATTTTTATACTTTAGATAAGACAGCTTGATGGAACCTAGAAAAGATGACGTTCGCTCTGCTGCTCAAAGCTCCATTCGTGGGTCCTCAAGCTCAGCATGTACCAGTTATCCCATTCCAGAGTACCCTGTTGCAGGCACCGTTAACCCTGTCCTTAATTATTCAATTCAAACTGGGGAGGAGTTCTCTCTTGAATTCATGAGAGCTATACCCAAGAAACATCCTGTTCCTGGTATGCCTCATAATCAGAATGTCACATCCAGTGCTGGTCACAAAGATTCAAGAGTAAGCCTTGGTGCTCATCGCACAGGAGGTGAAACTAGATTTGATGCATCGATATTTCTGACCTCAGATAACCATCAACCAGATGAGGTTGAAAGAAAACCTTTTTCTGAAAATGAAAACAGAAGAAGGCACATGTCAAGTACGTCAGTTCCACGAGTTCCATCTGGTGGTGGAAGTAGTCAGGGACTGTCCCGTGGCTATGCTTCTTCTGAGGCTTCCGAAACTTCCAGAATGATTAAAATTCTCTGTAGCTTCGGGGGGAAAATATTTCCCCGACCGAGTGATGGAAAGCTTAGGTATGTTGGTGGTGAGACCCATATAATTCGGATTAGTAGGAATGTTTCCTGGCAGGAGCTTAAACAGAAGACAACTGCCATATATAATCAACCTCATGCTATCAAGTATCAGTTACCCGGTGAGGATCTTGATGCCTTGATCTCAGTTTCAAATGACGAAGATTTGAGAAATATGATGGAAGAATGTGGTTTGCATGATGGAGATGGGTCCCAGAAGCTTAGGATATTCCTTGTTTCTTCTATTGAATTTGATGACATGAGTTTCAGCCTGGGTAGTATGGATAGTGATTCTGGGATCCAATATGTTGCTGCCATCAACGGGATGGATGGAATAGCTGTGAATTCATCTAGTGGCCAGGGTTTAGTAAATACATCCATGAATGAACCCGATCAGTTCATTAATCTCAATTTTGATAGTAGGCTGACAAACTTAAGCAGAGATGGTTCAAATTTGCATGCAGTGAATGCGTCTACTTTCATGCCTCCAGAGATGCTCTCAAGACCAATGCCATCAGCTCTATACAGTGATAATACTGCAAATTTGCGCTCTTACTATAGCCATGGGGTGCAGAATTTGCAGGGTTCTGATTACTCTAACCCAGCTACCAGTGAAAGATTTCATGATAGTGAGGGCCAGAGGATGCATAATTTGCAGGGTTCTGATTACTCTAACCCAGCTACCATTGAAAGATTTCATGACATTGAGGGCCAGATATCTATTCCTCTATCTACACCTTCTGATTATAGATATACGTCCCAGTATGCACCTTTCTCAGGAACTGCTTCACAGCGATCTTTTGATCAACAGTTTTATCAGGATGCTCAGACAGAAGCATCAGTGAAGGAGGAAAAGAGGTTTTCTGGTAACATGCCTAATCAAAATAATGAACTAGATTACTTTCAGTCGCTTGAAAATCTCAGTGGCCATACGAAGCATCATGACTCATCTGCTTCAAACTATATGCATTCAGGAGCCCCCCCTACTGCTGGTATTCAAGAAGGTGTGACATCTTCTCTTCAACCAAGTGACAGTGTCAAGAGCCTAGAGACTTGTTCCATGCCAAGAGCTAGGTCGACAACACAGGGTTCAGATATCAGCGAAGATGATCGCCACTCTGGTGGAGCTTTTGCATCTGGCTGTTCTGACTTTCAGGCTGACGTGATAGATCACAGCTATAAGAATCCGTCTCCTCACCCTGGGCGAGTTTTTCATTCTGAGTGGATTCCTAGGGAGCAAGCAGGCTTTCTGAACCGGCTATCTAAATCTGAAGATTCGCTTAATCCTGAACTTTTGATTCGTCAATCGCAGTCTGGCGTTGCAAGTGAACACATTGCAGAAAATATTGACTCTGCAGAGGGGACTGAAAAACCAAATTTAGCTGCCCAGGCTATAAATCTGAATGATCCAGCTGTCGATGATAGTCTCATACAGTTTGAGAAAGGGTTTACCAACACTGTACATCAAGTTTCTCCATTTAGTGAACATCTGCTTGGTGAAAAGAGGTCCTCAGATGACACGAGCAATAGAAATGTGGACAAAGTTAGCCATGCAGCTGAACAGGTTGCAGCTAAAGGCAAACTTGATGAGGAAACTTCTCAAGATGTAGAAACAACTAATCAGCTGGGTTCTCATGCTGCTGTGCCACATCATATTAGTTGGGATGCTCCTAAGCCAACACCGCCAACTGATTGTGAATACGATCCTGTTGTACCATGTTCCACCAGCTCTGTGGATGTTTCTCACAAGGAAACTATTATCCCAAGCACACAGAATAGAGACATTGCTGGTAGTACAGAGAGGACCTCCCCTGACATTCTTTCTGATTTCTTTGCAAATGCTAATTCTTCAGCACAGTCATCCAGTGCTTTTATTGATCCTATCCATAGCCTGAATATGCCTAATTATGAACCCCAGCGATGGTCATTTTCAGAAATCTTGCACAAAATGAGTTTCCAAAAAAGGATGAGGCCCAAGATCTGGCAAAGATCGAGGAGGGTGTTTATCCCTTAGATCACTTAGAGCATGATACAACTAATGTGAAGAATTTGGCTCCTCAGAGTGATGCCCCTGTGGAAGTGCCTCCAGTAGCTTCCCGCACCAATGTTGATCCTAGCATTTCACTTCCAGGTTTTGTCTCATCACAGATTGACAATCCAACGACAACGAAGAATGTTGAAGGGTTCCAAGTTGATAATCCTTTTACAAATATGCATGAAATGATGCCATCTCATCTGGATTTTGAGGTATGCATGTCTGGAAAGAAGGCTGAAGTGTTCTTTATTCTTTGATGTTGAGAGTCCTTCACTTTGAAATTGTTTACTTGGTCCCAGGAACAGAAGACTGAAGAGGGTAGGGCTGTTGGACCAGTCATGGATGCTTCCTTTAAAGACAATGATTTTGAATACTTGCAGGTATAAGTGGCTTTTGCTTGCAGAGAAGTTTATGCTCTTTCCTGGTTATGATGTCCTTTTACATATTATGGGCGCTTGGCTGTATTCTAGAAGTACAATCTCCCAGTGCTGATTCATGCCAATGCCTGTACCCTACTATGTATCTGTATGTAGGCAAACCGATATGTTCTTTGGCTTGAATGAATTTTGAAACAAGTTGTAAAATAGCAAGTTAGGCAGCAGAGGTGTAGCTAAAGCAATGGATTTGGTGACCTGCCACTTTATAATACACAATTTGCTAAATCCAACTATATAAATAGAAAAAATGGATTGTCATGAACTGTTACTGGCTAGGTTCCAACTTGTTTGGCCAATCATCTTTTGTACAATTTATTTTCATGTTTGGTTTTTTACTTATGTGGTTATTTTGGTTATACAAGTGACTCCATAAAACCAAAATGATTCTTCACAGATGTTATTGCCTTTTGCAATTCGTGTTCAAAACCAATGTGGCTGGAGCATTCATCCCAGTTATATGATTCTAGTCCCCTGAAGCAGCGTGCATTTTAACTATTATACATTTTCCTCATAGAAAAGAAATCATCAAAACACGTAAAGCCTAAGGAATCTTGGTATGCTTATAGGGTTAATATATGGTTTTTTGAACTAATTTGTGGGGTCCAACATATTTGTTTGGTTTAGATTCCCTGTCATTTCATTAGATTAGGAAGCTGTGGAGTAAAGTCTCTTCTTTTGAAGTCTTTGGATGGTTCATCACATTTGTTATGAGATCCAACACCATACTCTGTTACCAAAGTAACCACAGATTTCTTGCTTGATAAGATGAATTTCATCATGAAAAATGTGATGCTTTATTGGAATATAATTGTAGTAGGCGTGAAGTATTTCTGCGTTATCCATGCCACTAACCATGGCAGTGCCGACGAAAAGGCAATGTGAGCCACAGCTTTGACATCCATATTGTGGAGCATGAAGGGTACCATGCCTCAAATCATGACATTTTTGTGCCTAGCACAATGTGCAACATGTCATGTTGGAAGATCTCATCTGCTCTCTTAGGGTGGTTTCTTGCTCTAGTGAGTCAGTGACATCTTCGTCATCTGAAAATACCAAGTAGGCATCTTTCCTTGGCCAAGCACCAAACCCCTGCTAATATCAGCATGTAGGGTATGATATCCCTAATGCGTTGTATTTTGTTGCAATCATGCTACCTAGTCTTACCTCCAAGGACTTATCCTGGCTCCATCATGTTCATAGAATGAGCTTTCAATCAATGATAGAGAAGCGATCATGTATAGATATCAACACAAGTGTGGGCCCAAGCTCGTTTCCACATTAGCCATGGCCCATGGCAACACCAGCCATTCCAATTGCTTCGCTTTGAAAGCGATAGATTAAGGGAGATAAAATTTTACTAAGTTAGATATGAGGTGGTTAGGTTTAAATTGATTGGCATTCTTTTGCAAGATTATTTTGTTAAACTTGGTAGGTCAATTAATGGTGTCTAAACCTACAAAAATATCATATTGTGGTCTTAAATGGGGTATAAATAAGAAAGGAACTTCCCATGCCACCATGTTTGTGAAGACCAAACCCCTTTGGCATAGCAGGAGGCCAAGGCAAGCAACAATCGACCTTTTGCTACCATTTTCTTTTGTGATGTAGAACCAAAATTACTCCCAACTTTGCCATTTCTTATGCTCTTATGCCGAATGGGGAATGTCTACATACCTTGAAATCGTCACTGTGTGTGCCAAGATGGCGATGAGAGAGGCTAACAAGGCCTCGGTCAATGTGAACAACATGATGTTATGTTGCATGTGCCACATTTATCACTTTCTTTGTGCTATAAGCCGAAGCTCCTCCCAACTTTGCTATCTTTGATGTTCTTATGACAAAATGCTTTGGACCTTGGAATAATCATTGTGCATGCCAACATGGGGATTGGGGCATGAGAGGCCAACAACGCTTGGGCCGAGGTGGATGATGTCATGTTGCACATTAATGAAATATTTATGTCACACAGTCACACAGACCAGACTAGCCGTAAACTCATTGAACCACATGGCACATGGTGTGAAAGCATTGAAAAGAACCTCCAGTCATAGGTGACAGGGGGTTAGGCCTGGCGCAATCCTCGTCCTTGTGACGCCATCCCGAATTGCCGATTTGCGGACGAGATGTGTCGATGTCCCGATTTTGAATTAATCATGCCTTGCCGTAGGGGTTTAAGATGGGTGCGTCCTAACTCTGGACTGGCCATTGCCCCATTGCTGCTGGGTTTCCAGACGGGACAAGGTGTAGATGAAGATTATCGTCATACACTTGGGGTTCTTGATTGCCTAGTGAGGCCTGGTCGTGGCATCGCCGTCTCCTCATTGTCTGTGATGATGCTCCATGACAGCACCCATGGCCGATTGTTCGCGCATTGGACAGCTGCTAGCACCTCATCATAGCAAAGCGTGAAACCATGGACAAAACTTAGAGCGCATCAGGGAAGAGGGATCCATGAGCAGTATGTTTTACTAGTCATGGTGTGTGGCAATAGGTGATTGATTTGTGGCTTTCGCAGGAGAACAAAGAGAAAAAAAAAAGAAAGCAAGGCAGCAAACATGGACGAGATGCGGCGGCTACTTGTTTGTTAGTCATGATTCATGAGAGGGCGCGAGATGATAGGAGGCTTAGGGTTACAATTGTGGGTCGTATGGCCAGCACACAACCAGTGAACCGCACATTTAACCTTTCTTTTATCTTTTTCCCTCCTCTCTCTTTTTTTTTGTGATTAATCTTACCTTCTAGGAGCAAGTTATACATCGTCCATTGACCTGGGTCATTCGACCCTAACTTCCCCATTCGACCCTCATTTTTAGCTACCTTTGACCCTGACTTGCACCCAGTAGACCTAGATTTTTTTGTGACGATGCCTCTATTATCTCTAGAGGCACCTCCACAACCTTCTGGCAACGCAACTAGATCAAAATGGCCTCCTGCAGTCCTTGAAATCAAGTTGGTTGTCTGGGAGGGCACCTTCCTTTGTTTTGTAGTGAATATTCAAAATGATGTTTGTTGACATACCCCAAGTAGGCTCACTTCATCGCTTTGGTGTACCAGAGGGTCAAGAACTCATGATTCACATGAGCTGCACTAGGCAATTTCTATGTCATTATGTGTACATTACTGTGTGCCTTTGCCGATTGTGCAGAGATCTTCCAAAGCATTGGTGTGGTGGCTTCCAAGGGTCAAGGGGTAGAATTGTGGTAGAACTATTCGTTCCAAACTATTCTCTTCGCATGATGTCATTCCAGGTTGCATTTACATGATCACTAAAATATACTGTCCTACCAACCCAAGAAAATGAAAGCTGTCATATCAAGGGGGACAACTCAGATTTAGGGATGAAATCGGATAGGATACAAAAGGATATGTACAGATACGAATATGGTAGTTGTTTTTTTTTCTTAGATTCGGAGTTGGATACGAATAGTGTCAGATGCGTTGAATATTGGTATGCATCCCATATCCATACTAGATATCGGGCGATACGGTACAGATATTGAATGTCCTGATTCAGATATGGATTATCCATTTAGTAACTGAACCCCTTTGGATGGACGGATAGTCGGGAAATATCCATCTTGTTTTCACCCCTACTCAGTTTGATTGGAAAGTATATGTGCAAAAAGTGTCACATTAACCATGGCAGCACCATCTACACCAGTTTTCTTCAGTTTGAAGCAAGCACATCAAGGGGAGTAAGTTTAGTTGATTATCGTCGTTTCCACTTTCCAAATATGTTTTTTAAAGTTTTAGTAGGTCAATTAGTTGCACTTAAACCTGTAATGGCTGCCTATTATGCACTTAGGAGGAGCAAATCCGGACAACCCCTCCCCCCGCCCCCCCACCCACCCCCCACCCCCTCTCCATTAATAAATTGGTAAAAGACAAGAGCGTTCTGTCACATCCAGGAGCAACTGGATGTGGCCAGGCGGGTGATCAATCACTTCACCCTACAACAGATGTTCCATGTCCAGAACTGATGGATTGCTCCATAGGCATTTAACAGTAGTGCTACTTTGCTTTAACAGTATCACACTGTTAGACACGTTATGCAGGGAGGTAGCCAGCTATGATTTAGTTTCTTAAGCCTTTGTTGTTTAGATCTAACTTAATGTTTAGTGATCCCTTAATAACTATAGATAGTGTTTCATTGTTTTGTTAGCTTTCTTTTTTTATATTTATGTTGGATTTTTTGGTACACTCTTGCTTAGAGGAGGCTCTGTAAGTCAGATCAAGCAATAGTTGAACTAAAGCCTCCTCTTCTTTCCAAGGTTCATATCAACAGATTCAAAAGTATTTAGACTGGACCTTTGCTGTCGTACAACTGTTACCTCTTTTATCAACATGGCATTTCCTTTAAAATTGGAAAAAAATAGACACCAATCTAAGAGAAGTCAGCATATTGAAAAGAAATTGCTTTTGTTGTGGTTATCATGTTGTCATGACAATCAGCAGTAATATGGAAATGAGCTTTTGCAGAATCCATGAGAGAAACATGCAATGTACTTGAGATAGTAGGATTGAAGGAGTTGCCTCGTAGCTGTTGAATTTACGGGGTTTGAACCCTAGTTGACACTATCTACTGCATTTTATACCCTAGCCGATAATAGTAGATTGATACCGAATACTATTAATCGTCCAATTTCTACCTATACGGGAAAAAAAGGAGACACTGGATGCTATTTCAATTAAATGGCATCCAATACCAAGCAACCATTCCGTTAGGGTGTTGAAAAAGTTGTTTGTGTTACTAGGGGCATAATAGTTGTAGTTCTGTGAAACTGGTAAGTAAAGCCACTATAAAGTACAGTATCTAGTGATAGTTTAACTGTACACATAGATAACCTGGTACAGTGAAGTTATACATGTGGGTGTGGGTACCTTGATTTGATTCTGCTGAGGCGAGTTGTAAACTAACATTTTCCTTAATTTGATTTTGTTTTTATAATCTGCTTCAGAGAACATTCTCCTTTTTTTCACATCAAATTGGTAATGTCAATGGACTAGAATGGACATTAGAGCATTTATTAATCTTAATGAGATACTATCCCCTTTAGCTACTGTTCTAGGATTTAGTTGTGCATGTGTGATACCGCACCTTTATTTGCATCATTTTTTTAATTTTTATTTGTTAAATTAGTCATGATGAATGGTACATCCTGTCCAGAATGTCCAATAGTTGTGCCTGGTAGGCTGGTACACCATTGAGCTGTATACTCATTTGATTAATTTCTTTTTTAAGCTATCATATTGGAGTACTGAACATAGGAACATTCTCCACAGATTATCAAGAATGAAGACCTTGAAGAGCTTAGGGAACTTGGTTCAGGCACATTTGGAACTGTGTACCATGGAAAATGGAGGGGCAGTGATGTAGCCATTAAGAGAATAAAGAAAAGCTGCTTCACAGGACGGTCTTCAGAACTAGAAAGACTAGTAAGCTCTGAACCACCACTTTTACATCTACGATTCAGATGTTATATCCATTTTTGGAGTAATGTGGCAGTAGGCCATTGGATGAAAGGTTGTAGCACTATTGCAGTATAACAACTCTTGACCTATGTCATGTATTAACAATTGCTACATGCACCAAACCAGACATGGCACCACTTTGGCCAGATGCTGATTAATATGGCTTAAACTATCTCAATAAGCAAATAACCTTTGGCTGACAGCTGGTTCATCAAAATTTACTTCCTTGCTTGGTTGTTTAGGCGCACGAATTCTGGCGAGAAGCTGAAATTCTTTCAAAGCTTCATCATCCAAATGTTGTGGCATTTTATGGCGTTGTGAAAGATGGGCCAGGTGGTACATTGGCAACCGTGACTGAGTTCATGGTTAATGGTTCTCTTCGACATGTTTTGCAGCGCAAGGACAAGTAATTGCTTCCTGTGATTACTTTGGTTTCACTTATTATTTACTGTGAGTAACAAAATGCTTTCTTCCTGGACAGATATCTCGATCGTCGTAAGCGGCTTATCATAGCAATGGATGCTGCATTTGGCCTGGAATATTTGCACTCGAAAAATATTGTGCACTTTGACTTGAAGTGTGATAACTTGCTCGTAAATCTTAAAGATCAATCACGTCCCATATGTAAAGTGAGCATCACTTCCATCTATATTGTTATTGTATAACTGTATTGTGCATGATTTTCAATTACTTTGCATTATACTCATGTGGTGAATTTATGATTTATATACAGGTTGGTGACTTTGGCTTGTCCAAAATAAAAGAAATACCTTGGTTTCAGGAGGTGTGAGAGGGACTCTCCCATGGATGGCTCCAGAATTACTCAATGGAAGCAGCAATAAGGTGTCAGAGAAGGTATAATCATAGTTCTTGGGTCTTTTCAGCTGTGGTTTTAGGGGTTGTTTGGTTTGTGGGATGAGGTGATCTATTTTGTTCCACTCAGATTTTTGTTTGGTTTGAGGAATGGAATGGGTTGATCCATCACCACCGCATTCCTCACACGCACATGATGCCTCAAACCAAACACCCTCGTCTTGTTCCAAACTTGTTCATAAAATTTGCCATCATGTGGTGATCCTTTATCTTACTATATTCATTTACTCCAGAACCAATAATATCCATATCTGCTTCAGGTATGTGTATAAAGAAGTTACATTTAAGGTGCTGAGTTTGTTTCCACTGGTACAGGTTGATGTATTTTCTTTCGGTATTGTTATGTGGGAAATCCTCACTGGCGAAGAACCATATGCCAATATGCACTATGGCGCAATTATAGGTATACAATTCATCACCTACAATTAGTCCATGAATTGTTTGTTTAGACTTGAGAATATTACTGGTGGTTTCCTATGTTTTTCTATTCAGTTTCAGAGAATGATCTTCCCTCAATACTCAGCCCTGCCTTTGTTTTATTTTGTTTGTTTTGTCTGTTGACGTTCAGTTTCTAGGGTTGATGATTATATGATCAAATAAAGGGCGAAAAGGCCAATAGAAGTTATTACTTCAGCCAATAAAATTGGAGGTTTGGGCCTGGGACTGGTAGTTTGGGTAGCTCAAATCCTATGCTGTGTTAAACATTATTACCAAAGTTATTGTCATGGCACTAACCCAGTTTTGGTAATTCACTTTTTTGGAGAGTGGCTACTGAATTGTTGTTAGAAGCTTCTACATTATTGTTACTGATATAAGCAGAAAGAATACAGTTAAGGGTATTCAACCATTAGAATCTTCATCATTTTGCTGTCAATAATGTCTACATTGCCCTTTAGTCGAACTGTTGAAGATGGGACTATGTAAAAACGGATTATCGTGCACCTCTTATTCTCACCACTTCCACTTTTTTAGCTTTGGTTGCCCTGGTATTATGATTTATTTTTCAACGTCATCTGTGTCTTCTGATGAAGATTTTGCCCCTCCTGTGAATTTATTCATTTTTCCATGATCCTAGTTTTTTTTTCCTTTGATCAGTTAGCACGTGCGTGACTCTTAGAACCTCCTTTGCAGGGGGCATTGTAAACAACACACTGAGGCCACCTGTGCCAGCTTCATGTGATCCGGAGTGGAGAAGGCTCATGGAGCAGTGCTGGGCTCCAGATCCGGCACAGCGCCCAGCGTTCACAGAGATTGCTGGACGGCTTCGCTCCATGTCAGTTGCAGCAAATCAGGCGAGGGCAACCAAATAAGATACAGGTGGAGTACTTCCTTTCAACCCCCTATTTGTTGGGGGTTCACTTCACTTCTCTCTTTTCTTTTTCCTTCTCTTTTTGACTGGAGAGTAATACATATACATGTGTGTTATGTTATAGAGTGCTGTAAAAATTAGTGCATCAATTTATTTATACCATGTCATGGGCTGGACGTATCCGGTAATATACTGGACTCGGTTTGAAGGTTGTGATGTGTATAAAGTTTTAGTTGGAATTTGTTCGCAGGTGTGCTCCCTCAAACAGAAATGAATGTTGTAATATATTCAAAACTGTGAACAAGAAGCTCCATACCATACCTTTGGACTTCACATCATACGTTTTTCTTTACAAAAGAGTGTATAAAAAGTTTCTTGATTACACTTCTGGTCCTGCTGTGCAGTCTTCCCAAAAGATACATGCTGGATGCTGTTCATGGAAATCGAGGTGACCCATAGATGATGAATCTTATCTTGTTCTCTAGTCTCTACCCATTCGGTTGAGTGCAAGAGTCCCATGTGGTGCATTTTACACCTTCATAGAAAATTGGTACGATGCGACCGTGCCAAATCATGATATTTCATTTTCATTGAAATACATGAGCCTCAGCATTACTGAATTCTAAGGTGCAGATCTTATGAACAGGTAGTATTGTGCAATGTATATTAGGTATGGAAGAAAATGCAACAGGCAACACTTTCAGAGGACTGAATGTACTATCTCCAAGTAATCTCAAACATGAAATGTAGCTTGGGAGCACTTAGAAAAATAATAATGTCATTACAAAAACTAGTATATTGCACAAACGATATGTTGGATACAGTAAACCTTCAGACTAAAATGCTAGATGCAAGGACACTAGGGCTCTGTTTGGTTGCTCTTTAAGGTGGTAGATGTTGATACTCTTTTAGTCAAGTTTAGAATGGCTTGACTTTACCTGAAAATATATCATCATATTACAGAACCAGGAGTACTTAGAACTAATAAGAATGCATGTAAACAGCAGTAAAAATTAAAAGATGGAGGTTGCACAAGTGGTTAGTACTAGCATTCTAAAATTAGGATGTCTACATTAAACAGAACCCAGCCTTAGGTGTACGATCCATCTGCTTGGTCAGATGAAAATCATAGCAGTGACATGAACAGGAGCCTCATTTACATCAGCATACTTTGGGACGAAGAACTGGAAGGAGGTGTTGGGATCTGGCAGCCCATTCGAGGGACACATGCATTCAACTTGGAACCGAGATTTCTGGTAATGCCCACGCTGGAGGAGCTGGACATGCTTGAACTGCATGAAGTAGAGCTGGAGTTCGCATGTCGTGTTCTTGCTAGTCGCCGGTGACGCGGAGCTGATGGCCGTGGAGGCGAGACAGCCTACCGAGACGGCAGAGATAGCGTGGCCGAACGGTGTACTCACCATGTTCAGCAGGAGCCGGTACTGGGTGCTGCCACGGACGGCTGTGAGGAAGTTGAAGCCATCGCGGAGGTAGACGCCAAAGGACTCGCCGGCACTGACCTCGGCGGTGCACGGTCAGTCGTGCTCTGCCTTGAGGTGCGTAACGAGCGTCGCTACAGGGCTGACGAAGCCGCAGGCGCCGTCGGGACAGCAGCACTCTAGGAGGTGCTCCCCCTGGGCGTGGTACGCAGTCCTCGTGTCACAGCCGTACAGCGCGTGCGGACACGGCATGCGGATGGAGTCCACCACGCGCTCCATGGCGTGGCAGCTCTGGTAGCCGCCGGGCATCGCGACGCGGCATACGTGGCAGTGGACGGCGTCCTTGAGCCTGTCGGAGCATAGCGAGCACACCACATGCCCCTTGGCGAACTGCAAATACATGGCGACTCTAACAGTAATAAGCAAATAAAGGACAGACAAACGGATCGACGACGCGGGAAATGTCCAGATTAGCAGGACCTATGTACCTGGAAGATGGGTGGCTTCAGCGGGCGGTAGCAGATGCTGCACTCTAGGACGTCGATGTCCTCGTCGGCCACCGTCACATCATGCATATCATTGCCGAGCCTGACAAAGAGCCATTCTCGATGCCGCCTCCTGCGGTGCCCCAAGGCTCCCATCCTCTTCCTCCTGGGGTGTAGGAAGGCTCCCATCCTCCTGCGTCGACGAGAGCGGATCGCATCGGGTTTGGCTCTTGCCCTCCAGCCGGCATGGTGCCCGAGGAGTACCGCTCAGACATCCGTGATCGGGTGGACCTGTCAACTCGCTCTCCTCAGCTGGTGCTGCTGGAACAGAACACAAGTTAAAATGCACAACAGACTTGAACAGTTAAGAGTGTTGGTACTGACGTTTATTTGCAGTCAAGGAAAGTCCCCTTCTCAGAAGCCCTGTACCAGGACAACATATGCCATGGCAAAAGAAAAAAAAAAGAATTTCCGTTCCAGACAATAGAAGCCTATGCACCTTACAATTCACTCCTAGTACTTCTCATTCTCATTGAGCTCACCAGTGAGTCATCAAGTGGGCTGCAGGCATGCAGCTGAATGGGAGGATGGCTAATAATTAGGGTGGTTGTATTAAATATGTAAGTATTTAAAGTGGGCATATGCATATGATCTACAACTCTATGGTTATTTCAAGAACAATCATATTAAAAAAACCATATGGGACATACAAAATAGATTAATACCGTAATATAATAATATATACTCCACCATGATATTACCAAAACAGATTAACATGATATGGCAATACCTATATAGAAACAAATTGGCTTAAACTTATCACGCATATAACTTATTACTTTGAGGCAATATTCCACGCATACAACCAATTTCTAAAAGTATATTCACCAACAAGCTATATACCATATGAATTACAGAATCAGAAATGTACTAGCCCACCGCTCACCTGTGCTCTAGCATTGTGGGGGTATAACCCCCGATACGACTAGGGCTGTACATGGGCCAAGCCGCTAGGGGAGGTCCAGCCCACAAGACTGTGCATAGGCCACGCCACTGGTGTAGGCCCGACCTACAAGACTGCGCCGTACAAGGCACGACACAGGTTGGCGTGCCTCGCAAGACCACGTGAAGATCTTCGGTGATCTAGGAGACCCGCTCGGATATGCCAGATCCCATAATATCTGTAACTTCCTATCTTGCAAAATCGATCAGGATAGAAATAACCGATCTGTAACCCTACCCCCGAGCTATATAAGGCGAGTAGGGACCCCCTCGTTTTCATCTGATCATACGCAATACAATCCACAAAGACACAGGACGTAGGGTATTACGTCAAGCTGACGGCCCAAACCTGTCTAATCGCTGTCTTGCGTTCTGTCACCATCCAGTTCCCTCACGCGCACCTCCACCGATTCATCTACTACCGTGGGCATATCCCTCGGTAGACTACCGGACGTATTTTGTCGACAGTGGCACGCCAGGTAGGGGGTGTGCGTGCTGAATTCATGGCGTACCAGTTGGTCACTTTTCCGAGCTCCATGGCCTTTCCCGAGCCGGGCCAGATCTTCACGGTCAGATCCATGACCTGGGTCATCGGCCCCGACGGCAACGAGGAGATCGTGGAGACGGTGCAGGATCATCCTGCGCCAATCACGCCAACACCTGCAACGACAACTCCGGTCCCGGCGCCCCGCCGCTGGGTTAGGAGATCCATCAGCAATGATGATCTGATTGGATCCATCGATCGGGTCACAGACCGCTTAGCGGAATGCTAGCTCCTCGTGGATTCGATCTCAGATCAATCTAGAGCGAGCGATGAATTTCCCGTACTCACCAAGCCGCTGCAACCGAGCGACCTGCTCGGCCACATCGTTCAAGGCGGCCAGATTCCAATTTGGTGATCATGGCCACTCTAGAGGGGAGCACGGTGCGGCGCCAACCACTTCCTGCTACCAGCCTACATTTGGCCGACTACGAGGCCCTGATGGAGGACCCACTGAAGCCCTATCCTTTTGGGCTGGAGAGTGCGGGATCTACGTACCAGAACGCCATCCACCACCTCTTTGTTGACCACGTCGAGCGCGACCACGTCACCGACCTCTACATGATCGACCCGACTGACTCCGGTCAGCCCGCGCCCGTGGTCAATATGGTGGCTATTCACTAGCTTTCGGATGATCCCTCTCTTCTGACCGAATCCCTCCATAACGTTCTGAACGAGAGCCCCAACGATTATTCCAAGGGCTCAACCAAGACCGTGTCAAGCTGCCCTGCTTTCCCTCCGAGGTTCGGGGGCATGATTTTCCACATCAGACATGATAGCGCCACCAAGGACGGCGAAACCGCTGAAGAGCGCGAAGCTCGTCTAGCGAAGAACGCCGATCGCCAACGTCGCCGAGATGCAGAAGCAGCCCAACTGGCCGATGAAGATCGTCGCGGCCCGCCCCGCCATCAACGTAATCTGGAGGAGGCGTTTGACATGGTGGGCGACCAACCAGTCTACTAGACTCCAAGCACCAATCTAGCCGTCGCTTTCAACGAGCTTGACAAACTCCCTCACACTCCAGAGGTCGAGAAGGTCCGAGCACATATCATAGCAGCGCAAGTCAAAGTCAACAAGTTCCGAAACAACACCCCATCTTATTCCACCGCATCAGCTCATAGCCGCCAGTCCCACCGTGACGGAGGAGGCTAGTATCATGGCACCGAGGGCCCTCGACCTCAGGCTAGAGGTCCCTACCTCCATGGAGGACCCAGAGGCAACTATGAAGCTCATTCACTCCACGACGGCAGCCCATCGCGCCCCCAGGGAGGTCAGGGCGGCAACCACAACTAGGAGGTCAATCAACCCCCTCGCGACCTTCGTGACCACATCAACGCCGGCGCAGATGTCCGTGGCCACATCGAAAACAACAGGTCTGCACGCTACAAAGCAGAGATGGAGCGCCGCTAGCAGTTTGATGCTGAACATGTGGGATTTGCTGCCCGTCAAGCGCCACTTCCCGCCGGTGCATCAGGACTTCATCCCTTCACGGAAAGGCTCCGAGCCGTTCGGTGGCCTGTGGGTTTCAAGGTTC